TTAACACTTTAATCATCAAAAAATTGTTTAAATTTATAATTAATTAGATATTTTAAATAAAACAACAACAAATAAAAAATTTTATTAGAATAATTTACAAATTTTTTATACTTTTAATTTTAAAATTAATATGTATAGGAAATTGTCTTCCTATGTAGGTATAGTATGTTTAAAATAACACTCATTGTTTAATTTTATAAATGATATTATAAGTGAATAACAATATTTTAATTAGTTTTATTTAGTTTAACAAAATACTAAATGATATAAGTATTTTACTTCGCAAGTGTAATTGTGTTAACTGTTTTAATTTTAATAAACTTAAAAATTAATTTCATTATGATATTAATTAATTTTTTATTCATATTAATGAGGTAAGCTAATCATAGCATATAATTGATTTTCTTGTGTTATACAACCAGATATAACAATAATATTTCTACTTAAGTATTGTAATATTTTATTAATAAAAGATTGATTGATAATTTAATATACTTTACATATTTTAGTTTGTTTTAATAAAACTCATTCATTAATATAGAATAAACTATTAGTCTTTTACATTCTAATTTTACAGTTAATATTAAATACTTTGCTAAAAACAATATTTTTTGTAAAAAATTAAATATTTAGACAACTAAAAAGCTTTAAAGATCATTCTTAAAGAAATTCAATTATAATTTTTATCCTAAAAATATTTTGATTATTTTATAACTTAATTTCTTTATATTTCATATTTTTAATTACTAATTTAGTAATTTTTAATATTAAATTATATGAATTTAATTTAATTAACAACTAAATTTTTATCATAAAATGATTTTTCTTGAATCACACATATGATTTATTTGTTTAGTTCTATCTTTTCATTTATAAAATTAATATATTGATAAATACTGAATTTTCTCTTAAAGTTTTCAATTGTTCTTCATTTATCATAATCAAAAAGAAAATTTGAAAAAAAACTATTAAAATGAAATTTTAATAGTTTATTAAATACTATATAAAGTAAAAATCAATAAATTTTATTTAAAAGATAAATATAAATTTATTTTTAATAAAGAAACATGTTTAAATAATCTAAATTTTATAATCATCCTGTAATAATTAATAAAAAAATCCTTTAAATATTTAAAGTTTTAATCTTTTTGAATAACAATTAACAAAAAAACGAAGTATTAAAATCAGAAATTTCAATTTTATAAGTAATCTATTTAAATCTTAAATTTCAAAGTCTTGTTTAAATAAAAATTATTCTAAAATTGATTAGAGAACTTAATTTATAAATTAGTTAAAATAAACAATATTAACAGAACTTAAATGTATTATTTAAATGTTATTTTCTTTAAAATAATATTTAAAGGTTCTTTTTTATAATAGTAAAATCTAATAAATTTTTTTAAAAAACTTTTTCTAATTGATTTATTACAAATAAAAGTAAATTTGAAAGTTGAAAAAGATATAAAAAGAATACAAATCAATTAATTTTTAAAATATAAATGATATTTAAGTTTTTAAGAAAATTCAATTATAATTCCTTAATGTGTGAGGAAAATATTTTTATTAGTAAAAAATCTACAATTGAGAGAAATATAGAGTGTATTTTAGTTAGTCTGTTGTTTACAGTAGTATTGATTTCAATATGCTTTTATCTTATAAAACTTAATAAATGGTTTTAAAATAAGATCATCTTTACAGAGTTAATCAGTAATTATAAATTTTATATAAAAGAAAATAAACAATAAAAAGCTTTTTATTAAATTTTTAAACAATTAAGTTTAATTCCTATAAAATAATATTTATTGCTAATAAAATGCTTTGTTTAATAAAAAAGAATTATACACTTTTAAAGAAATTTAATAACTTAGTTATTTTATTAATTTTATACATTTTTATTTTCCAACTCTTTTATTTTAAATTGAAAGAAGTCTTTTTAATACTCGGATTAGTGATTTTTATATTTTTCTTTATAAGTACTGTTATTTCTATAAAAATAGCAAAAAGAATTTAATTTTAATAAAAAATTTAATAATGAAAATTGTTATTTATAAAAGTATACCAGAAGATCTTACACCAATTTCTGATGAAACCGAAAACATCAAATACAATGTTAATAATTTTATTAATAATGAAGTTATTTTAGTATTTATAGATGGAAGTATAACTGTAAAGATATTCAAAGATTTATATTCAAGAACTACCAGGCCTAAAAGTGTCAGTTTCTGTGTAAAAAATCTAGAGTTTTTTATGTTTACAATGAGAATGTTTAGAAATTTAGAATTTGAATTTAAAAACACTGAAAAATTTGA